CAAGTTGAAGAATTGTATAGAGGACCAGTAATACACACAATTCAGATTGAAAAGTTACTGATCGTTTAAAATTTGTTTTCTACGGATTGACCCCGTGAAGTAACCGTATTTATTGACCTTTTTGTATGACAAATTCATGATGTATAATTTTCACCTTAAACAATCTATTCTAATGTATCTATCAAGGTTATAATGCAAGGAAAGTTATTTCAGAGGTGTACGCATCTTTTGTACTGCCATGTACTGTCTTTGGGCGGTAATGTAAACACAAGACGGATGTCAAAGCCTGACATTGGATCCATCTTTCACATAAAACATCAATAAAATATTCTGGTCATATGAAACTATAATGTGAATTATCTGGTTTCAATATGTACGCAGAGTATACGCAACTGCAATTAACTTTCATTGCATTATAACCTTGGTATCTACTATCTTGGTAATAAAATAATTGAGTCTTGCTCATAAAGAAATTGATCAACTCTTAGCCACAAACTCTAATTGTCTAATCTGTATACATCTTTGTAATTTATGTCGTATATTATAGATATTTTAGACTATTAATTCTGTTTGATGAAATATTCTATGTTTGAATTAGAAAATATTTAAACCATCAGGTTACAAAAATATAGGAATTCAAAAATTTGAGTTTGTGTCACTATTCTTTTAACTCTGGCATTTTTTAAATTTAATTTAATCAATTAGGTTTTATTTCTTTCTAGCTAAAGTGCCCAGCGTTGTCCATGGAATTTTTTAAATCGAGTTTTAAAAAAAAAAACAATTATTTAAGAGAGAAAAAAATTTGAATTCTTTGTAGCCTATGTCACCTCGGGGAACTCAAGGATTTCCTTGAAAAATGTCAGCCCAATAGGACCAGTGTTTGGCCGGCTATAGGGTACGTATATACGAATGTTTTTTTATACATTTTTTATATACTGGATTTTATTTTTTTTTTTAAGATAAGTCCGTTAAAATATTTATTTTTCCGTAGAAATCAAGTTGAAGAATGTACTAAATCTCCCTTTACTACGTAGATATTAAATAAAGATGAAAATTAATATATTACTAGGATATACCTCTAACAGAATAAATAAATAATAGAAAAATTCGTGACCTTGCATTTTATTACATTATGGAGGTGGGGAGGGGTGTAGAGGTGGAGATTGAGGGGGGTAGGTAGGCAAACAAGGGATGATGGGGGGATGGGGGGGAAGGAGTGGATGGAGTGGATGGAGGGGATGAAGGGAATGGGGATGCTGATCCGTTTAATATTACATGAAGATGTGAATAAGATCGATTCAATTACAGAATACCGTGCAATAGGTTATTATAACAAGGGTATTCAAACAAATTACAAGACTTTACAAAATCTAAAAACTTGTATTATATTCTATTTCGTTTTTTACCTTATCAGATTTTTGAAACTATAAAGGACGAATTGTTAAAAAATATATAGTTTTCGTCAAATGGAATTAGTTATTTTTTTCTTTTTTTTCCACAAACTGAACCACCTTACTGTTAGTCTAGTACTGGTCCTATAGTTTTTAGTGCAAGTATTGTTTATTTATGTTAAACAGGGCTATTAACTGTATAAACCCTCCAGTATTATGTACTTAACAACATTTCACGATAAAATTATTCAATGAATATTTTAAACAAAAACACAAGTTGAATAAAAATGTGAATTTGTCTGTCCCAGCAAGCGGTGAGCATAATTAAATTTATTTTATTTTCCTAGTTTCAGAATTCATTCTCAGTGTTTTTCTACAGAATATCAGGGATTAATTTTATCTTATTTTCCAGAGATGATAATGTGACGTCCAGATCAATCTGATCTCTGACGCTTGTTTTCGTCCAAAATCCAAAATTAAGAAAGTTTTTTCTCTATGTATGGTTTTTGATAATGGAAAAAACAGGGTGTCCCAAAAACATTGATAATTTAATTACGACTTTTTTTCTTTTTTGTTCTAATTGGGGCATTATTTCGATAATATAATATAAAACTGTTCAGTTGAAAAAATTCCTTTAATACAAATAAGAAATTACAAGCAAGATTCAAATGGGATTAGTTGTGGATAAATGTAAAAAGTCTTTTGTACATTCAGACACCATGCGAGACAGTTAATGGTTATTCTTTTATAAAAAATCCATTGTTTACATATGCTGGATATATATTTATGTTTTAGCTTATCCCCCCCCCTCTCATCTTAGACTTAATTTATTTGCTACTTTGTAACCTAGGAGTATCTAAAACTAATCTTTAAAAAATGAAAATAAATGATTACATGTGTACTTCTGTTGATGGAGTTTTTTTTTATTATTGAAATAGCAAAAACAACTCTATTAAAACTATACATATTCATTTTTTGTTTATCTAGAGTTATAATTGATACATTTCTTATTTTGAACATGTATGTGAACTTATTAGCTTTAAAAGAAATAGCAATTGATATGATTATATATATTGTTTGTATAAGTCTTAATATAGACTTATCTTTATGTTAAAATATGCTTAAATCAATTTGTATAAAAGTAAATTTGATAATAAAAAAATAATATTAGATTCACAACCAAACCTTTAAACTTTCACTTGAGTAACAATGAAGAAGTTAATAATTAAAAATGATCATTTTCGGATAAAGAAATAGAGATATCTACATGATATAATGAAAGAGTATATACAGGGTACCATTGTGAATCGACCATGTAACATAAAAATACTTGAACAGTCCCTATTTCTTAAATCCAACTTGAAACCTTTGTTTTGTATACTCCTATAAGGGCCGGGGGACTGTGGTTTCTATTTGTTTTGTATACTCCTATAAGGGCCGGGGGACTGTGGTTTCTATTTGTTTTGCATACTCCTATAAGGGCCGGGGGACTGTGGTATCTATTTGTTTTGTATACTCCTATAAATGCTGGGGGACTGTGGTTTCTATTTGTTTTGTATACTCCTATAAGGGCTGGGGGACTGTGGTTTCTATTTGTTTTGTATACTCCTATATGGGTCGGGGATTTGTGGTTTCTATTTGTTTTGTATTCTCCTATAAGGGCCGGGGGACTGTGGTATCTATTTGTTTTGTATACTCCTATATGGGTCGGGGAACTGTGGTTTCTATTTGTTTTGTATACTCCTGTAAGGGCCTGGGACTGTGGTTTCTATTTGTTTTGTATACTCCTATATGGGTCGGGGAACTGTGGTTTCTATTTGTTTTGTATACTACTATAAGGGCCGGGGGACTGTGGTATCTATTTGTTTTGTATACTCCTATAAGGGCCGGGGACTGTGGTTTCTATTTGTTTTGTATACTCCTATATGGGCCGGGGGACTGTGGTATCTATTTGTTTTGTATACACCTATAAGGGCCGGGGGACTGTGGTATCTATTTGTTATGTATTCTCCTATAAGGGCTGGGGGACTGTGGTATCTATTTGTTTTGTATACTCCTATAAGGGCCGGGGGACTGTGGTATCTATTTGTTTTGTATACTCCTATAAGGGCCGGGGGACTGTGGTATCTATTTGTTTTGTATACTCCTATAAGGGCCGGGGGACTGTGGTATCTATTAGAAAGAAACTCTAGTATAGAATCCATTAGACGACACACTATGTAAATACAGGCTTTTCTATTATTTTCTCACTATTTGCTGGCAACCACCCCAGCTCATTAAATTCAATGTCTAGATGTAGTACGATTCATTTAACATGAGAACTCATCTATACTTTTTTTTCTGTATGATTTTTTTAATAAACATAAAATCTGTGAACCGATTGAGCCAAACTTTTTTGAGGCAACACACTTGACCCTAGGGATGCTTTGTGAGTAACCCTGTAAATTGCTGTTCGAAGTTGACGAAATGACGATTTCTTTTGAAAATGAACCATTTTTAGCGCGCGAGAAAGTTTAATTTAAACGTAAAAATCAACCCCCCAAGCTATAGCTATAACATGCAATTATGTTATCCAATAATTTCTAACGTTTCATTTACTTTCAAGGAAACTGAACCTTTGCAATTTCACAGCTCAATGGCACATTAGGCAATTTTCAACATTTAATGAGAAATTAAAACTTATTATTACATATTGCACCAAAATTTGTAATATTTTCAAAGAGACCCACTGATTACAAAGTTTTCATAAAGGAAATGAGTTTTAGCCACAAACTCTGATTTTCTTATCAATATATCTTTGCAACCCAATCTCGTAGACCTTGGATATTACAAACTAAGAATTATGTTAGATCAAATATAGTGTAAGTTTGAAATATGAAAAGTACACACCATTGGGTTAAAAAGATATTGTGATTAAAAACTGTGAGTTTGTGGCAAAGACTCAATTCCTTTTCTGCCTTATTTATATTATCATAGAAATACATTAAAAAAATATTTTTAAGCTGGTTTTCGAATTTTAAATCAGATAAAAAATAAAAAATAGATCAAACAATTTATTTATTTTAATTGAGAGAACTTTAAAATGATTATTAAGTTAAATTTCCCAAAAGAAAACGATCTACGAAATTTACACATTTCATACCAATTTTCATTGCACCTATAAACTGGATAATAATCTTTATATCTAAAATCAGGTTTTGATAAAAATTCAAACCTAATAGAGTAAATTAATAAAGTAGGATGTTCCACATTTTTTTAATATAAATATCTGGGTTCTAAAAATAAAAAAGCCATCAAAATCAATATTTAAAAATGTTAAAAACTCACAATTGAAATTGAACAAAACCAAAAGTTTTTTTTTCATGGGTTTCAGATGAAAAAAAGGAAAAGAGCTCAGACCATGATCTGTTTAAAAGGATAATCTATAAATCGTTTTTGTTAATCATCCTTTGTTTATCGTTGAATGCTTTCGTAAGATTTAGAAATATAATAAAGTGACGCGAAGATGAAGTATGTTTAATCCAAATAATTCTGGTTTTAAATCTAGGACTGAACAAAATATTTAGTACAGACTTTTTTTAAATAAAAATAGGTGCACCTGAGATCTGAAATTTTAAATACTTAATCTTTTTCAGAAAACACTAATCCCTTTATATTGTTTAAGGTGTATGTGGTGGTAATTTTAAGATAATTTTAAGATTTGCCCTTTAAACACTTATTTGATCAAATGAAATATACATCCTTGTTTTCTAGCTAAAAATATAACTTGCAGATTTATACTTCAGAGATTTAAAAGAAATTATTATAATTAATTATTAAAAAAGTTTTTGCTAAAAACTCAAAGTTTATCATCCCTGTATCTTGTGCAACCTAATGTCTGTGAATCTTTAATGAATCCAAGTAAGATTATTTGGTCTAACAGAATTAATAGTTTATAATATCTTAGGTCTACGGCATTGTGTTGCCAAGATATAGGGATTAGAAAATCAGAGTTTGTGGCAAAGCTCAATTCCTTTATGTGACATTACTGTTACAACTTTGTGACCTCGTAGCTATATGTGGATTTGAAAATTTAAGTTTGTAGCAAAGAGTCAATTCCTTTATGGAAAGAACAACGGGGCGATATCTTCCTCATTGTTAACCCTATCTGGTCTAGGAGGGGGGTTTATTTGACCCCCCCCCCCCCTCCTAGCTATTTATCCCCCCTATCGTCTTTTTGCGATTTCTCAAAAAGTATTAGAGCTAGGAAGCTTGAATTTTCTGGCGTTTCTAACTGACACATGTCCCTCACCTAAGGGTAAAAGATATGGGCTTTTTTCAACAATGTATAGCTCTTTGAAAGCCTATAACAAAAGCAAGAAGATTGCACAATTTTTGCAAAGAAATTTTGAACAGATTTTTTCACAGACGCCTTTAAAGGTAATTTTCACATTTTAAGTTTTCTTTGTACACATTTAGGTTTTACAAGTTTTGCAAATGTTTTTGCACATTTAAATTTGCTGGGTCCAAAAGCTTTTTAAAAATGTATAGCATGTTGCAATGTGCGAAAATTCTTTTGCACATTATTTGCTCAATAAGTAGATTTTTGAAGTAGAGCCCAAGGGCTTTCTAAAAACATTTCAAATGTTATAGATTTCTATCACAATAAGAAAATATAGGGGGGGGGGAATTTCTTCCCCCCTAGGCAACCAGTTAGTAAACCAGACGTCAGGCTAAACAGGGTTAAATGTTTAAAGGATGCTGTGGTGAATTAAGCGAAGGGTAACTTAATATTACTTTGAAGCTTCCTATACAGTACGTTCAAGAACGGAATCAAATGACACAAACTAAACCTTGGTTTCACCATCGTGAAAATGCGAGTCAATTGTTTTTTACCGGATTAAATCTCTCAACCCCTTGACATTAAAAGCGTCTGCTCCAGATATTAAGTTTGGGTAACGTAGATCAAATGAAAAGTTCCAGTCTCATGTCTTAATTCCATCCCATGTTTAAAATGTAAAATTAGAAAATTAATCTCGGTTTAGGAACTTTGAATTGTGTCGGATTAATGTCAAAAATGTCAGCAGACCCTTTCACATCGCTCAAGGGGCCCCATTTATTTTTGAGAAATATCATCATGATAGATTGACAAACATTGGAAAAGGGAGACAAATAAATAATTCTTTGAATTTATACAAATGACTGTTAAAGGAACTGATTTTTTTGCCACAAACTCACATTTTCTCATCCCCATATCTTTGATTTTTTTGATTTTTCAAACTTAGATTATTTAATCTAACAGAATTCATAGTTTGAAATATCAGAGGTCTACGGTATTGGGTTTCAAAGATAAAGGTATTAGAAAATAAGAGTTTGTGGCAAGAACTCAGTTCCTAGGTTGTACGGATCCAGGTTACATACTCTCCACTATACAGCTAAAGTATCCTAGGTTGGAAGGATCCAGGTTTCACTCCACAATATCTATTAGAGTATCCTAGGTTGTACGTATCCAGGTTACACTCCACAATACCTGGAGTATCCCAGGTTGGACGTATCCAGAACACTCCATTATATCTAGAGTATCCCAGGTTGGACGGATCCAGGTTTTACTCCACTATATCTAGAGTATCCCAGGTTGGACGGATCCAGGTTTCACTCCACTATATCTAGAGTATCCCAGGTTGTACGTTTCCAGGTTACACTCCAAACTAGAGCTAAAGAAGATGCTATTCCTAAAATAGATAAAGATTTTTCAGAATTTCTTCCACATCCCTCAATTATCAAAAAATATTTAAAACGTAAATCTTAGAAACAGAAATGATTTTTATATTCCAGAGTAAAATCTTTTAAAATTAGACTGCTTCTTCCTCACAATTTCCCTAAAATATGGTATGAAAATAAACGACACTTTTCTAAGTTTTTAAATATCAATCTTATATCGAATTTTAAACAGAATTTAATTGAAGATTTTTATTAGCAGAACGAATGTATTCATTTTAAAAAATGCTATGTTTGCAAAAGAATCGAAGAAAGCAAAGACGATTTCACAAAGAAAAGACTAAAAAGATTAAAAGATATAATCAAACATGAAGGATGTCAAAAATTTGGCGCGAATTAAATAGATGCTGAAAAATGCCCGCTTCGCGTAAAACCTATACATTTTCCACAACCCATAAAGCCTTTTTTATTTTTTCAAACATTACAAATAAATGTATCATTTTATTTCTAAAAGTTGTTAGTTTATAGTCGAAAAAATACTAACAATCCACCGTTAGTTAATATTAAATATAATGTAAACAAAAATATGAACCTTTCTTTTTCCCTTTCTTTCCATTCTTTTTTCTTTTATTTATATTTTTATATTTTTTTAGAATTTGGGGTAAATATTCCCACAACCTCTAATTTTGGAGGTTTTCAAATATTTTCTCTTTAAACACTTAATTTAGTATGTTTTTGTTATATTTCAAAAATAAATAATTACTTACTTTCTCACTATCCTAGGTACTGGACGGATCCAGGTTACTTTCCACTATACTTAGAGTATCCTAGGTTTGACGGACCCCAGCTACTCTCCACTATACCTTGAGTATCCTAGGTTGGACGGATCCAGGTTACTCTCCACTATACCTAGAGTATCCTAGGTTGGACGGATCCAGGTTACTCTCCACTATACCTAGAGTATCCTAGATTGGACGGATCCAGGTTGTTCTCCACTATACCTTGAGTATCCCAGGTTGTACGTATCCAGGCTACACTCCACTAAACCTTGAGTATCCCAGGTTGGACGGATCCAGGTTACTCTCCACTTTACCTTAAGTTTCTTAGGTTGGACGGATCCAGGTTACACTTGATAAAGTATACTGTGTCAAATCCAAGTTTAATCTTCCTAAGTGGATACAATGGTTCAAGAATACATATTTCATCCAGGGATAGATAAAATAGGTAGATAGATAGATAGATAGATAGATAGATAGATAGATAGATAGATGTAGATGAATATATTCTGAGAATTGAGATAGATGAGGCGTAGTTCGAGGGTTAACAGATAAATAGATGAATAGGCAAGTAGATGGTTTAAAATATAGAACATCTACAGATAGTTCCAAAAAGTAAGAGGTTATTTATAGCTTTTTAAGAGATATTCAAGTTTCTTATAAAACTACGACAAAATTGATAAATATTCATTTTGAAAGAATCATAAGAAAAAGCAGAGAAATTAAGGTTTTCCGTCAAATATTTCCTGTTTATGGTTTCCATTCGCAAAACTTTTGCGCAATTTTTGCGAAAGATAATGCAAATTTTTGCTTTCGTTATGCTACAGTTTTGCTGGAAAAATAGCACTTTGCGCAATCATTCGCAAACTTCATTTCGTACAAAATTGAGCTATTCCGCTTTTGCTTAATTCTTTTTTTGCGCAACTTTGCAGACCAAATTCTCAGCAAAAGGTTGAATAAAGGTGTAAACTCTATAAATTAGTTATCTCTGCGATTGCACTTTTTTTTGCATATAGTTGTAATGCTTATAAAGGAACAGATAACTTGCGTAAAACTCTATTTTGCAACCTGATGCATGATGGCACACTGTAAGTCAGGATGTGCATGATCTCACACAAAAGTCAAGCATTATTTTGTCAATTCTCATTTTAAACTTAAGATAGAAACCGACGCGAATCATTTTTAAATTGTATATGTCTAGGCCTACAAAAAAGCGTCAGTAAGTTGGCGAGGTAAGACCAAAGACCAAGGCGTTGCGACACTTCAAATTGCCTCTGTCTACAAATTTGAAGTTTCAGTGTTGTCTTTATCTCAGTGGGCATTTGTCTAGAAGTATAGTCAACACTTGAAATATCAAAGTTTAACAACTCAAAAAGATTCAGATATTTATAAAAACTTTGCATCAATTTTTAATTTTCAAATTTTTAATTTCTGTTTTATTAATTTTTGTCTCTTATTATTTGAAGATTTTGTAACTAAAAGTAACCAATTGCAATTGACAGTAGTGGCATAAACATAATTTATGTGTATGTACATTTTTGAATAAACCTTCTGTTGTCTGAATCTTTGCCGATTCTGAAAATTTTGTTAAATTTGGAACAACATGTTTTGCGTAAATATTTACGTTTTGAGCAATACTTCCTGTTTTGTGCAAATTACGCGAAAATATTTTTGCGCATCATGCGCAAAAGATGAGTGAAATTTCGCAAACAAAATATTAGTGTGAAAATTACGCAACTTTTGCAAAAAAAAATATGGTCATATCGTGGAAACCCTGTTCCTGTTATATAGCCTTGATTGCACTTCTATTCAATAGAACGGAATTAGTATTCTATGTTTATGAAACAATTTGGCAGGTATTAACAGATTAAACTTTTTGAAAAGAAAATGAATTTGTTCAAGTTTGCTTCAGCTATGTATTAAAGTAATGATTACGATTGTTAGTATTTGAAAACACAAAAAATGTAAAAACTTTACTTTAGTGCTTTACATCGTTCTTTTTACTCCTTTCACACCCAGCAAAATAACTTGATTGAAACCCTAGTTTAAAACTTTATCAAACAGTCGAATTTATGTCGGCTTTATCTGAACTCTTAAGACCAGTCCTGAACTAAAACTAGTTTCAAAATCTGGTGTCTTAATTTGGTACGACTAATCACGAGAAAAATTAGCATCAAGTCAACTTCTTGAGATCAAAAGTCCAGTTTTTGTCTAGAAAATGTCCATTTTTGTTTTCATGGTTATCTTCAACGTTTTTTTCAAACCTCATATAATTTTATCATTTAACAATTCCGATTTTTCCGTTTATTTACTTTTTTCGATTGGTCATCGGAATATCGAATCGAAAAAATAATTATTTTAGCAGAAAATAATTTGTGGTCTTCCAAGCCTTCAGAGTAAGACTGGTATTTATGAGATTTGCTTTACCATTGTTGAATTTAACCATGATAAAGCAGATGTCTGTCAGTTTCCAATGTTTCAGTCTTTGTGGTAGTTTTCGAGCTCATGTTCCATATTTTTCAGTTATTTACATTAAAACCCTAAATGATGCATAAATCAAAAGAATTTATCAAATGTCGTCTTGACAAGTTTTAAACGGGTTTTATACTACATATTTACGTAAAATAAATAAATAGCCATGAATATGCGGGAACAGTTTTAAAGAGCTCCATATAATCATTTGATTAGAAAACAAAGTAAGATCTGCAACATTCCATAATTAGAAAGTGAAGCTTATGACATTCGATGAATTCTTTCGATGTATGGCTTATTTAGGGTTTAACTGTACTTTACAGGGTTATCTACAAAGGACGAGGCTGTAAAGACGACTGGAAAATTTTTAAATGCGACGATTCCAAGGTTAGATTATGTATTCTGCCTTAGCAAAATTATCTTCTATATCTTCTTATAAGTCTGCAGTTATGGGAATCGTGAATGTAAGGATACAACCAGTATAAGTTCCGTACAAGGAAGGAAACGGTGTTTATAGGCCAGTATTTATAAGTGAAAAACTAGAAGCTAGAACTTTTGAAATACCGTCTAATCCCCAGTTGCGCAACTAGCACTTTTGTGGAAGGGGTCATAAAATTTGATTTTGAGGGGCTGGGGTGGGGGTACTGGCGGCTAACCCCCTCTACTCCCCACAAAAAGCGCTGTTTTCAGAATTTGAAGTAAAAAGACAGAATTTTATAATCGTTGAAGGGTTGACTGTGTGCTCAATAATATACCAAATTCTTATAATATCCATGGCTTGGTCTTGAGTTAAAAAAAATATATACTTCCAACAGCTTCAAAATGAATGACATGAGTAAGTTTATTAAACATGTGCGCGAAGCGCCAACAAATTTCTGTTCTTAGTGTCTTTTCATGTATTTCTTTGCGTCTGTTAGTCCCTCCCCTAGTTGCACCACTGTCTCCACTTGTGGCCGTGCCCGTGGGTAACCCCAAACTCCTATAATAACATACCAGCATATAGAACTTACACTTATTTACTACATTTATGCGAATGATAAAAAAAATAGTTCACAAGATAATATCAAAAATATCCTTTTTAAAGTAAACTTTTCTCTCCTGGAAGTTTTTTTAGCAGAAAAATTGTGAACAAGTAGGATTTTCTTGCTTGCATAAAAAGAGAATTCATGGATTCAAACATAAAACCGTAATCCCTCCGTTTTTATGTGCTTGAGAAAGTTTAGACTTGCAATATGTTTGAATGTCGTCTTTTACAAAGGATATTTCTGATAAAATTATTTGATTCCACACATATTCAGAGATCTATGATGTAGGAATAATTGATATTTTCCGTTACTAATGCCGTCAATTCTGAATATATTCCCTTGTTGTGATAAAAAAATTCAAATTTTTAATTAATTAAATTGTGATATATACTGAGTGTCGATCGAAACAATGAAAGTGAATTGAGAAAGTGCTTGATCTTGATCTTAATCTTTGATCTTAGAAATAATATTCGGGCATTCATTTGTCAACCATGTACTTTTACATTCATTTGTCAACCATGTACTTTTACATTCATTTGTTAACCATGTACTTTTACATTCATTTGTCAACCATATACTTTTACATTCATTTGTCAACCATGTACTTTTACATCTATGATTCTTGAAACATTAATAACCAAAAAGCTCCCTATATATCCTACTCATATGACTTTCCAAAATGTTGTCTGCCTTTTTGTACTTTTAAAACTTTAAACTATGGCGAGGGGAACTTAATAAAAAGTTTCAAATTTAAAAAATCGGTCAACTTCTGACGAATTAGTGATGCTTTATAAAGAACTGTAGATACTGTAGTAGACGTAATTTAAAGTGACGAGTTCGATTTAACCTGAAAAATGTTCACTGGTGCTAAGATGAATGAGATATCCTTACTTTCAAACCTTCAAATTGATTATTTTCAATTGTGATTTCTGAATGAAAGAAACTTCCTGGAACATCACCGAAGAATATTACAAGATTGCAGAATAATAGAAGATTTGTTAGAATTTTAATGTCCGGTTGACGATGAGGTAAAACCTCAGTGGTCTGGGGTGCAGGCTTCAAACTAGGCGTTGTGAGGCACACTGAATCGAAATTTAACTTCATGGGGAATATTTTTTGTGGTAACTCTTTCACTGACGTTTATATCACTAAACTTTTTTTTAAAATCTTGCTCATTTTCTGATATACAGTTTTACTTTGTTGGGCTTCAGGGGTGTATAATAAATGTCAGTTTAGAAAATCAAGTTTTCCTATTTCCACAGTGCCCATTTTTAGAGTTATATATATAATTCTCAAATTACTAAAGAACCCCTTTGTTTGTAAACCGTGTAAAACCATCTTTTAGTGCTTAGGAACAAATTGACGAGTTTTAAATCGTCCTACATCTACGTGAATATTAGTAACGCCATAAGTCCTATTTCTTAAATATTACTAAAACCCTAAAGTAAACTCTAGAGTATATTTACTCTAGAGTTCTTCGGTTTCTTGAACAAGTTTCTATCTTGGGTAGTCCAAAATTACTCAGTGTAGAATAAAGCATGCTTTTCTCTGTATGTATAAAATGCCTTATTTTTTACAATAGCTTTGTGCCAGATAAATAGAGGGTAGATTTACATCATGTAGATGAAAAACAAACGATTAACAAATGTAAAACTCGAAGAGAGACAAACTAATGATTTCAGATCATTCGTTATTGAAAAATAAACTCCTTTAGATTTCTGAACTTTTTTTAAGGAAATATGAAAAGTATTTGTTTATTTTTTTTACAGATTATTATTTGTACTGCAACATAAATAGTATAAAACCTGTTTTCACAAAACCTAAACATACGCAGTACATTTTCAGTTTCTTCTCATTAGATCAGCTCACAGTTGCGATATAGTACCCTTACCAGACAGTGGTTTTGAGTGGTTCAAGTATTTGATAAATAAAATTTTGCGATTATTTTCTTTGGGACAATCGAATCTAAAATTTTGGAATTTTTTTTATTTAATATTCTGTTAGAGACTCTGTTTACGGTAATCCTGATACAGTTTTCATTTGCATTCTTGAATATTTTTTGGGGTTCTTGCAGTATTAATTGACGATTCTTTATTAGCATTTGGCAATCATAAATTAGCATTTGGCAATCATAAAATAGCATTTGGCACTCTTTAAATAGCATTTGACAATCTTTAAATAGCAGTTGGCAATCTTACAATAGCATTTGGCAATTACAATAGCATTTGGCAATCTTACAATAGTATCTTACATTAGCATCTTACAATAGCATTTGGCAATCTTACAATAGAATCTGGCAATAGCATCTGGCAATAGCATCTGGCAATAGCATCTGGCAATAGCATCTGGCAATAGCATCTGGCAATAGCATCTGGCAATAGCATCTGGCAATCTTACGATAGCATTTGACATGCTTACTTTGTCGATCTTACACTTGTCTTGGTCGATCTTACACTAGCCATGGGCCCATGGTTTATTTTGCACCTGCCTTTGTCGATCTTGCACCAGCCTCTGTCAATCTTGCACCAGCCTCTGTCAATCTTGCACCAGCCTCTGTCTATCGTGCACCAGCCTCTGTCGATCTTGCACCAGCCTCTGTTGATCTTGCATCAGCCTTTGTTGATCTTGCACTAGCCTTTGTTGATCTTGCACTAGCCTTTGTTGATCTTGCACTAGCCTTTGTTGATCTTGCACTAGCCTTTGTTGATCTTACAATTATTGATCTTTGTCTGACAATACACTAAATGTATCTAGATCAGAATGTCTTGGCAATCCTACGTAGAAACCCAGCTCATTGAGAAGAAACTGACTCAAGGAGCAATTGCAGGACTGGATGGAAATATCTGGGCAAAGGTAATTTTTAATTGCCATCATCAACAGAGACCGTTCCTTCTATAAACTACATTGGTAGAGAACTTGACTTCTCCTATATTGGTCGTCAAATGTACGGAGATAAGAATTTAGGATGAGACATGGAAAGGAAAGGATTTATCAGAACTAGCATTTTCAATGTTATACCGTTGTGAGTCTACATGCCTTTTTAAATGGATTGTTATACTTGGAAGGAAATTCACTTTTCCGGTTTTTTATCTTTAGCCTAAAACCTCCCTCGGCCACCTCAGAGTGTCCACAAAAAATTTCAGCCCATTCGAACCAGTTGTTTGGCCGGCTATAGGCAGGCAACATATATTATTTGAGTTTTGTTGCATTATAGATTATTTTAGGCGAAAGATGTAGATGTTAACATCGTTCTTTTATTTTTAGTCTACTGATTTCAATATCACACCTGCTGAAATGAAAACTATACTGGACAATTATGAGAACTCGGTAAGTATTAAAGAATCATTTTTAATAATAGTGGCCAACATATCGTCCCACAAAGTACGTGAACTACACTACCACTTTCTCTGTAGAGCGTTTATAGACGTTAATTTTTTTACTATAAACTCATCTTCTCTTTTATAGGGAACGTTGGCTACCTCTGGTATAAATCTAGCTGGAACTAAGTTTCTCTACATCAGTGGAAACGAAGAGGTAGGGTTTTAGGATTATTTAACTAAAATTCTCAATTTTTTTATGGGAATATTGGGATGGGGAAACAGGTTTTAATTGCATTTAACAAATTGCGCAATCTCGATTGCTTGTGTATTTGCCAAAACCGTTTATTGCAAATTGTAATACGATCTTAGCGTAATAATCCGCAATTATATTTTTGATTGCAAGCAATCTTGCGATTGTTTTTATTGCGTAAATCGTCATTGCGAATTGTTATACGCAACATGCGGTATGATGCTTAAATAATATTTTATTGCAACGATTTAAAAAAAAATGCGATTTGTCTTGAAACATTAGGCGAGTTTTAATGATCCTCGGGGGGGGGGNGGGGGATTTTATTATTTAATGAGCAATACTCAAGATAGCTTAAGATTGTAGTTTTGTTTCACCAAGGAAACATGCAGCAGAGAAAGAAAGGTTTAAGGGTAACACATCGTGAATCGGGCATATATAATATTTTTATAAAATTGCTTTTTTTATGACCCTCCATGCCGGACTGAGATTTTATACTGTACCCTATAATTTTGATTAAATATAGGAGGTCCGATAACTCCATGTGGGTATCTCTGAAATTGTGAACTTAACAATTGTCGTTACATTAGTCCATAGTTTTTAGTGAAATCTTAATTTTTCTTAAATATAAAAATTCTTAAATATAAAATGTACCTTACAAACGTTTTTGTGAGCAAATTATAAGTTTTTTTATTTTCATCGGAAGTTTTTGAAACACAATTAGTATTTTGTGCTGTCGTATGTATTTAATTTTACCTCTGAGGCCGTTCCTTCCATGAACTACATTGGTCGACAACTTGTCTCCTAAATTGGTCGTATACGGAAAAGTTATCCAGATAAGAATTAAGCACGAGACCTCTAGCTACTCGACCACTATCTGTAAAGAACGGACTCAGCTTTGTTTATTCTTCATAGGTCTTAAACCAAATTTTTAATTTAAGGTGCTGCGTGGTAAGAAAGGAAAGGGGGGAGTACACATAATGAAGACGAACCAGGCTGTTGTTGTTGGTGTATACGATGAGCCCCTGAGTGCTCCAGAAGCTGCTACTGTCACTGAAACATTGGGTTCCTATCTGAAAACCTGCGGTTATTAATCTATTTGGTGTTTTATATTTTAACCTATGTAATATAAATAAATGATATGATATTAGCAGAGCTTGCATAATACACATAGGATAGAATAGGACTTGGTAAGAGAGGCTTCAAAGCTAACGGAGAAGGTAGAATTTTATGGATGTGTAGGATGGGTAGGATGAGAAGAAATATTAAAGGTATAGGATTGAGGGACAGGGAAATTTTGAGCGCAGATTAATTTGAAGTGAAACAAGGATAGAGGTAGGATTTAGTGAATAGTTGCGTAGAAAGATTGAGAAAGAGCAGGTCATAACACTGGTAGGATGAGTTAGTTGAATGGAAAGGTAGGATAAGAAGGTCACTACAGTGGTATGATGAGTTAGTGAATGGAAAGGGTAGGATGAGAAGGTCACGTCAGTGGTTTGATGAGTTAGTGAATGGAAAGGTAGGATGAGAAGGTCACTTCAGTGGTATGATGAGTTAGTGAATGGAAAGGTAGGATGAGAAGGTCACTTCAGTGGTATGAGTTAGTGAATGGAAGGGTAGGATGAGAAGGTCACTTCAGTAGTATGAGTTAGTGAATGGAAAGGTAGGATGAGAAGGTCACTTCAGTGGTTTGAGTTAGTGAATGGAAGGGTAGGATGAGAAGGTCACTTCAGTGGTATGATGAGTTAGTGAATGGAAAGGTAGGATGAGAAGGACACTTCAGTGGTATGAGTTAGTGAATGGAAAGGTAGGATGAGAAGGTCACTTCAGTGGTATGATTAATAGATAGGTAAAAGGAGAAGAAAGGGTAGGATGAGTTAAATTAATAGATAGGTAGGAGGAGAAGAATTGTTGGGATGAGTTAGATTAATGGATATAGGTTGGATGAGAAGAAAGTGTAGGATGAGATAGATTTATGGATAAGTAGGATAAGAAGCTAGGGTAGAATGAGTTAGATTAATGGATATGTAGGATAAGAAGAAAGGGTAGTATGAGTTGGATACTAGGATAGTTAGGATGAGAAGAATGGGTAGGATGAGAATGACGGTGGTAGGATAAAATTGTGTTGGGAGTCTGTGAATAAATCAGCTGTATTACTGCTTGAGGATATTAGACTAGGTTTGATATCAATCGTTCATATCAGCTGTCCTACTCATCTCTATCAGTATTTTAGTCAAGGATTCGGTTTAAATTTCTCAGCAGGGTTCATCTTAATAATCTAAATCGGCTTCCGTATCAAGAATGAAGAGGTAGAGTTGATTAGTTACAGTTATGACCAGAAAACTTTGAAATAGGAAGACGACTTTACAACAATACGTAAGTGAATTTGATGCTATAGACACTTAATTTATCACTATATGATTAAGTAAAATGGGTCAGTTTACATTGCACAAATGTCGTGTTCCATGCTCATTGGACTATTTAGATCAATAACTTGAATTTAAAAGTCGTCTTTCTAATTAAGAGTTGTCTGGTTATCCCTGTAGAAGTTAACCTTCTGAATCAAAACTTGTTTCTGATTTTATTCGGCTCTTTATACATTCGTAAGGATAAGTTCAACATCCTTAATCAGTCGAAGGTTGAAGGGGTACTGGTGTGAATTGGACATGCCTCTTTATAGATGGAGGTCAATGTAGATAAAGCCTTCAAAAATGCTCGCAAAGAGTTCTTCGAAATTCATGAAATTAAGACATACATTTAGTTGTAAATAGTGTTAAGTGTTAAATACCATAATTGATCGTCAATAAAGATTCTTGCTGGACTTTATATTAACAGCTTCTTTACGTTCCATCTTTATGTGTAAAAATGGTGTTTGAAAGCTTGTTAATCGACTGTACTGTGTGTGTTCATAATTGGAATTATGCTACAGGGTGTCCCAATAAACATGGGAATTCAGTGACGAAAATCTTACAGATTACAGGTTTCTCAGTAGGTATCACTGTACTAAATCAAAGAATTATTTAAAAAGACGATATCGAATTCGTCATTGAATTTCCATGTTTATTGGGACACCCAGTATCAATTATTTTATTGTCAGAGACAAAATGAAACAACGTAATATTATCGCTGTAACTGGTGACGTAATATTTAATTAACCCTTGATCCAGAGAGTGACATAATCAATTCACAATTATCTTTAGTGTAACAGTAAGGACAATTTCATCAGTTTTCAATCCTGAAATTGTAAAATTTTGACATTTTTCATGAATCCTCATTTCCCTGTTGTAGATGAGCCACCAATCAAAATGTAAATTTAGACGGGAAAATGAGAATATACCAGACAAAGGTTTAAAGGTTACAGTTGTGAATCGGACATGCTTTCTGTGTTAAATTTTTCATTCCTAGTCTTGCCGACATACGGAAAAAAGCACAATTGCTTCAGATGTTCAGACATTTTTAAGATATAAAGCAAAGGTTTGAAGAAAAAAAAATTATTTTTTAAAATGTATTTGAAAGGCAATCAGTTTAAGCGCAGTAAGAACCATTTTCAAGGACTAATTTTACCTTTTGTTCAAGCTTGTTTTACAGGACCGTAAATAAGCCAGCCCTGTTCAAGACCATGAAATCAAAAGTATTTATCTCGATAGATGCATTGCTATTACAAGCACAATGATAATCATAGAGATAAAGAAACTCAAAACTTGCATTGATTACAGTGTACAGGGTGTTTGAATAAAAGCATGATATGTTTGGTACTGTTTCTAGATCGATTATACAATGTACAGTGTACAGGGTGTTTGAATAAAAGCATGATATGTTTGGTACTGTTTCTAGATCGATTATACAATGTACAGTGTACAGGGTGTTTGAATAAAAGCATGATATGTTTGGTACTGTTTCTAGATCGTCCTTAAATTGTTTTTAATTTAGCATTGTAATTTGTGATGATGTGCTAGGAAAGCTGTAATCCGGATCGTTTGCTAGAATTCAGAATTTGTTTCTTTAAGTTATACATGAAAAAATCTCGTACAAACATTTGTCCCCCTGTTGTTTTAATTTTAAGTGACCCCATATTTAAAGAGGGACATGTCTAACCTTTGTCTGATCCACACTGTAGCATCTCGCATTGTTGTTTAGCTTAAAATATTATTAATTCTTTTAATTTCTCCATTGAATCTTCAGCAAAATTTGCGCAAGTTCACTCCAATTCCAAATAAAGATAATTAGTTCAAAAAAAACTTTAAAGCATGGATATGATTTAGACTTGATCAGACAAACTTTTCCAGATTTACGGCAGTCACTTAAAATTACGTTTTACAGTCCCTTTTAAGCTGTAATCCATCTAAAATTTAAATGTTACTAATGTGTTTCGACTTCAATGCATGCAATAAAGAATCAAGTTTTTCTTCAATTTTTTTATTCGTGCATAAAGCATGGAAAAGTGTTCTTGTCCATTATAAGGTTGATGGAAGCCGCAAGAGTTTGTTATAGAAAAAATTGTATCCAATCTTTTAGATTTTTTTTCTGTAATTTTAATCAAGCAGTTCAACATTATTTTTTCTCTTTTAATTACAATTTTTCCAGAGTTTCTTCCATTTCTATCTACCCCTTCGATTTTCCATCTTTCCCTCCGTTCTCCATTGATCCAATCTTTTTTATAATTGCACTTTCTTTCCTCATCTACCCTTAGCTTTTCTATTTTTTTCTATCCCTATTTTCCGTCTCTCACACTTTCTTCTCCTATCTACTCCCCTCTTTCATTTTCCATTTTCCACTCTCCACCTCTTTTAATCTTTATCTGTCCACTCTTTTCAATCTTTCACATTCCATTCTCCGTCTACCCCTTCTTATCCTCCTTCCCTTCTCTTCATTTCATCATAACGAATAATTTCACCGGAAGATTTAAATTTGTCATTCTATGGTTCTAAATCTGACTGATTGGTGTATTTAAGCCCTGAAGCCTGGATAGCGCATACTAGGCCAGAAGCTCATAATAAATCTAGGAGACCACATCTTAATATACTTCAGGCTGATATTCATCATACAGGGAGATCCATAAAGTATGAGATCATTCAAATTTTTATTCAGTATATATATAATTTCTTCAATGATTCCTTTCGTTAAATACAGTTGCTAAGAAGTGTTTTTATAGAAAATGGTTAAAATCATGTTAAAATGTTTAAACTCAGGAAATCATTTTCCATTGGCCAACCCTAAAATTCTTAAACAAAATAAGAAAGAATAAGTTTAAATCAATTCAACATATTTAATTAGTTCTGTAAATTTAAAAGTTACGAGCCTCCGAATAAGAGTTAATTTCGAATAAAATAAAATGCGACTTGACTTCTCATCGTAAAGTTTCTTTTTCTTCGGACAAACGCATGGTCCAAGTTTTCATTCAATTAATTACAAAAAGGGGCAAGTTTTAATTTTGTACAGTGCACGCAATAATATAGTTTCATTAATCAAATTAAAGCTTTGTTTGATAATTGGTTCCTTTATAAATAAACCAGTCTTGTAGCTCTCTGATCAAAAGAAGAGTTGGAGACTTTAATGTCAGAAGAAAAAGGTATCGTAAACACGAGAACCGGACTTGTGTCTTGTAGATTTCAAAGGGTGGCCTTATCATCATATTTTGTTGTTATCATTAATTCTTTTATTCAAAAGCATTTTAGTATGTTAGGTTAAAATAAACGTTAACCAAATGTACGATTTTTTCTACAAACTCTACTATTTAAGAAAATATAAGTATTGTTTCAAAAGAATTTTAAAAAAAGTTATCTATGCTAAATGCAGTGTGAACATATTAAAATATACGCTAATTAATCTATTCATCTGTCGGTAAAGTATTTATTTTTTTCCGTTTTTTATAATCAGATTTCCATCAGGAACGTATAAAGAAATTTGTCCAGGAGGGGGGGGGGGGGTTAATTTTTTCTTTCATACAGGGAAGGTTTGCTTGGCACCCGTTGGGGCCAAAAACTTTATGGAAAATATGAATTTCACCGAATCCCCAGAATAGACTTTTAAAATTAATAGAGTTGAAATTGAAATTCCAACTGACATTAATCAATAACTGCTGCAATAGTTTTATAGAAAAATTTGTCATGATAAGATTAAAGAACTGATTTTAAAAATTTACCTGTTTCAAAT